TTATTTAAATCTTATGTTTTTGCTGTCTTCCTCTGACACTTCTCCAGCTGAAGAAGGGGGAGAACACTGTTTTGTAACTGCAAGGTGGAGTAGAAGTTCAGGTTCTCCACTTTGCTTCTGATCTGATTACTGCTGGATGGAGGTGAACGTTCCAGCTCTTCACGAAGCCTCTTCTGATACCTCCCTGGATGCAAGGGGGTACTTTGCTACTGCTACGCACATGGCTTCCATTGACATCATGGAGGCATGAAAGTTCTAGCTCTCCGTAAGCCTCCTCTGATACCACCCCAGTGTGGAGGAGAAGTGTTGCTTTATTGCTGCTGGGTATGGATGAAAGCCCAGGCTCCTCATGTGGTCTCCACTGATACTGTGCAGTGGAGATGGGGAGCTTGGTACCACCGGCCAGTATGAACATCCAGGCTCCCTTCTTAGCCTCCTCTGACACCATCCTGCAGAGGGTTGGGATGCCACCTTATGGACTAGTGAAGGTAGAGGTATAGACTCAGCAACTGCCCTTGCTGGAATAGGTGAGAGGCGGATCTTAGATTTTTCTGTGGCATTTGGCTGGAGTTGAGCAGTTTTTGTCTATAAGTTGCCTTCCTAAGCTGTCATTTTCCTAGTTCTTTGACTAAAGAGAGCAAGCTTTCATTGGAACTTAAAAAAGAAAATCTGTACTTATTAGTATTTCTGGGTCACGGCCCTCTTTAGCTCTAGGTCTGGGATATATGAGGTGAGACAAAAAGAAAACTCAGGGAACTAACCATCATGTTGTTCCTCAGGTTTCAAGTTCCCTAGCTGATCTGCCTTCTTATCTCTACTTTTCAGAGTTTTCTGATGTTTGCTCTATGTATTATGTCTAGGTGTTTTAGTTGGAAGAATGGGAGAAACTGGGGAGAGTATGTCTACTCTGCCATCCTAGGATAGAAACTTCTCTTTGATAATTTTAATACTCATCCATTGGCAGAGACTTCAGGACTATATAGTCACTGCGGTGTGGCAGAAGTATGTAAATTATGGCCCTTATGTATCAGGACCTCACCACTTAGGGGAATAGATAGCCATTTTTTATTTAGTCTGGCACATAGCTAGGAACATGGTTTGGAATCCGATAGGACTGGGTCCCAGTGTCAGCTCTGTCACTTCCAAGCTCTGTGCCCCTGGGTAGGTGAGTAAACCTCTCTGAACCTCAGTCTCCTCACTTATAAAATATGGGATAGATTAGTACCAATCTCATAGGTTGTTGGTGGATTAAATTAAATGAAATAGTGCATGTACATCACTTTGCATGGTGTCAGCATATAGCAAGTACTTAGTAAATATTAGTCGGTGTTGTTGTCATTGTTACAAAGGCAGGCTGGGCCAAGTGTAATTATACTCCCTCAGTCTGGTCCTCTCCAGACAGAGGAGGTCCTTTGACTTCCTTTGTGCTCACTGCCTCTCTCTCCTCCTTGATCAACTGTGGGGATCTTTTCAACCTTGTGAAGGGATCTGGATGGATGCCGCACAGGATGAGGAGAGAAAATAATGTTTACTCCTTGTTTTCACTTACTCATTCCTTTATTCATGAATTCTTTCAGCAAATCTTTTTTGAACAATAACCCTGTGCTTGGCACCATAAGGGGAGCTCATGATCTAGCAGGATAGGCATCTGAGTAATGATAATTTGAGGTAAACTCTAACTGCCAAGAAGGATACAATTAGAATACTCTGAAGTTCAGAAGAGAGAGAAATCACATTTGGATGGAAGAATCAGGGAGGAGGATTCATGGAGGATGGCACATCAGAGCTAGACTTCAAATAGGTAGACAAAGAGAAAGAGCATGAGATGAGCAAGGAAACAGAAATCTTTAGAAAAAATAGTGTGTTTTTTTATTGGCCAAAACAACTCTGAAAAAGAACAAAGTTGGAAGGCTTACATTAATGAATTTCAAGACTTAGTAAGATATAGCAAGACAGAGTGGTACTAGTATAGAGACAGACAAACAGATCAATGGAGCAGAATAAAGTTCAGAAATAAATGCTCAATCGATTTTTGACAAAAGTACCAAGGCAATTCAATGGGGAAAGGAGAATCTTTTCAACAAAAGATGCTGGAATAGTTGGGTAGCCACACACACACACACACACAGAGCCACACAGACACACATAAAAATTAAGCTTGACCCTTACCTCACACCACATATAAAAGTTAACCTGAAAAGAATCATATATCTAGTAAGAGCTAAAATCATTAAATTTCTATAAGAAAATGTAGAAGAAAATCTTAATGACTCTGGATTTGGCAAGGACTTCTTAAATATGTCTGGAAAAGTGCAAATAATAAAAAAATCAATAAATTAAACTTTATCAAATTAAGAATGTTTGCTCTTCAAAAGATATTGTTTAAATAATGAAAATGTAAGACATATACTGAGAGAAGTTATTTGTAAAACACATCTAACAAAGCACATGTGTTCTAGAAAATATAAAGAACTTTCATGTCTCAATAGTAAGAAGACAACAATGCAATTTTTTAAATAAGCAAAAGATATGAACAGATATTTAACCCAAGAAGATAAATGGATGAAAATATAAGAACCTGAAAAGCTGCTCAACATCATTAGTTATTAAGGAAATACAAATTAAAACCATAATGAGATACCACTACATACCCACTCGAATGATTAAGATTAAAAAGACTGATCATACCAGACATTTGTAAAGATGTGGAATGATTGGAACTCTCATACACTGTTGATGGCTGTGTAATATGGTGCAACCAACTTGAAAAACTCTAGCAGTTCCTTCCTAAAAGAGCTAACATACTCTCACCACATGACTCACTTCACTTCCAAGAGAAATAAAATCACAAAGATTTTTACAGAAATGTTCTCAGCAGCTTTATCTGTAATAACCCCAAACTGGAAAACCAAATGTCTATAAACTAGTGAACAGAGAAACAAACTGCTATATATTCATACAATTGACTAACAGTAACAAAAAGGAATGAACTATTAATACACGTAACACATAATTATGCTGAATGAAATAAGCCAGAAACAAGAAAGAGTACATATTTAATGATCCCATTTACAAAAAAATCTAAACAATGCAAACTCATCTATACTGACACAAATAGGTTAACGGCTGCCTGGGGATGGAAGTGGAGGTTGAGGAGAGAAAAAGAGGGATTATAAAGGGAAACAAGGAGTTTGGGGGATACAGATATGTTGATCTTCATTGTGGTGCTGGTTTCACAAGTGTACTCTTATATCAAAACTTATCCACTTGTTCACTTTAGATATGTGTGGTTTGTTGCATGTCAAGTATACCTTGCATAATGCTGTAAAAAATATTCTCAGGCCCTCTGTAGGCCTACTGAATCAGAAACTGGGAATAGGTCCAGCAAACTGTGTTTTAACACTCTAGGCAATTCTAATGCACAACAAAGCCTGAGACCTGTAATTTAGGCAATAAACTACCAGCAAGTACTTGAAATAATGCTCTGGACTGGAGTATAGACTTGAGAGTCACCTTCCCTCATAGCTCACTTAGTAAAGAATCTGCCTGCAATGAGAGACCCCCGGTTCAATTCCTGGGTCAGGAAGATCTGCTGGAGAAGGGATAGGCTACCCACTCCAGTATTCTTGGGCTTCCCTTGTGACTCAGCTGGTAAAGAATCTGCCTGCAATGCAGAAGACCTGGGTTCGATCCTTGAGTTGGGAAGATACCCTGGAGAAGGGAAAGGCTACCCACTGCAGTATTCTGGCCTGGAGAATTCCATGAACTGTATAGTGCATGGGGTCACAAAGAGTTGGACATGACTGAGTGACTTTCACTTCACTTCACTACTTGGAGGTCACAGCTGAAGCTATAGGATGAAAGGATTTAGAAAGTAAAGAAAAGAAAGCAAGAGGGACTAAAGAAACCTACCCTCAGGAAGTGGAAGGGAAAGAAAGAACAGGTGACAGAAGCAAGGAAGAATCTGCCTGAGGTTGGAGGAAGAACTAACAGATGCCAAGGAAGGGATTTTAAGATACAGGGTGATCAGTAATGAGGATACCAATGTGGTATCTTATATTTGCAAAAGTGCTATCCAGTTTCTAAATTGTTTTCACATATTTTCAGTGCATTAACCATGCCAGGGATGAGCAGACAGACATCAATAGTACTATCCCTGGTAGGCAGCTCAGTTTACAGGGAAGAGCCCAGGATTTGGAGTTGGACAGATCTGGGTAGATTCTCTAGCTCCTTCACTTACTCATGTGTCAGTTTGGTCAAGTTTCTTGAACCAAGTCTCCATTTCCCTGTTTTCAAAATGGAGATAATTCTACCTACTAACCAGGTAGAATACTTGTGGTTTGTATAATAAAATGCCTGCTTCAGATGACTTGCAAAGTTGTTCATTTCTTTATGGTCTCCATCTCATGATTCCTCATCTTACAGATAAAGAAACTGAAGCCAAGAGTGGGTGAGTGATATATCCCAGGTCATAGGACTTCATTTGGAAGTACCTTCTTGGCTTGAAACCCATGGGACCACTAGACAGGCTCACAGATGAGCCTCAGTGGGTATGAAACTCCTGAAATCACATGTAGACTGAATGTGTGTGTGACACATGTTCTTCTTGGGGCAAGTGTTCATTATTTACATTGTATCCACAAGGGATCTAGGATCTAAAAAGGCTAAGAATTTCTGCTCAAAGGTCAGTTGTATTTATTTTTCCCTAAATCCCTTGATTCATGCCTCCCTATATACTTAGCTAACCCTCTTGCCCTCACACATCTTCCGTCAGGACATAATTTCACTATTTCTCTGCTGACTGACCAGTCTACAAACCAGGAAACTTGCTTCCTGGTCTCACCTCAGATGGTTCATTCTTTCAAGAAGGAGCTGCTGATTCCCTGCCCCTCCAGTCAGTACCATCCATCTGGTACAGAGAAGGACCCAAACATGGATGAGGATCCCAGCTTGAAGGCGCTTCTGGTCCAGTAGACACATAGGAAGGAATCGAGGTAACTATGACAGATACAGATGAGAGGAGGGCACAAGCAGAGGTCATCTGGAAAGACTGTATTTGGACAGCCTCAGCATGGACCTTGGTGAATCTCTCCATCCATATGTCTGTTCATTCAGAGATATACAACCCTCAGCTTCATCTTTACTCTTCAAACTACCACAACTTACCTTCCAACCACCACTCTGATGATATGCTTTCCTCAGGGTACATCACCAGGAACCCCTTACCCTCTTCCATAGACTCTGCCACTTTTAATGTTGATGTTTTCTCTATGATAATGAGCTGTGTTGGCTGTTCCTTGGGGGTCTCTCTCCTCCCTTGGCTTTCCCAACATCAGCATCTCTTTCTTTCTTCTGCTTCTGAGATCTCTTCTGTCTCACTCCCAAGTTCCATCACAGTTCCATCCACAGCCATCTTCATTGCTCTTTCTCCGGGTCTCTGCCCATCCCAATCTAGCCTGTAATAGCTAATAACAACAGCTAATCTTCACCAAGGGTTGCCACATCCCAGTTCTATCCATACTATCTCACTACATTCGTACAATAACTCTAAGAGGCAGGCACTACCACTGCCCCCCTTCTACAGAGGAGGGAATTGAGGCACAGAGAGATTAGGTCACTTTTTAGGAACATAGCTAGCAAGTGGCATGTCAAGATTATTCTAAAGTGTGAATTTTAATTATGCCCCACACTGTCCTAAAATCCTTAAAGGCCCCCCCACCTCCTTAATACTCAAACTCAAATTCATCCCCCTGCCCTCCACCACCACTTGTACTGCACGGCATGTGGGATCTTAGTTCCCTGACCAAAGATCGAACTTGTGCCTCTGCATTGGAAGCGTGGAATCTTAACCACTGGACAATTAGAGAAGTCCTCAAAAACTCAAATTCTTTACCACAGCAGTGCAGAGCTTCAGATCTGAGTCCTGCCTACCTCTCCTACGTCAACTTCGTCTTTGGGTTTTAGTACATGCTGTTCTTTCAACTAGAAACTCCCCTTTGCCTACATGTTCCCCTTCTTTTTTTTTTTTTTTTGCCTACTTACACTTCTCAAAGCCCAGGAACTGTCTCATACACAGAAGCCTTCCTTCATTGTGTGAGTGCCCTGTCCTGCCCAGCTCAGGGAGGTGACTTGGCAAACACTATAATGTGCTGCCCGATCCCTTTCAGTGAAGGACTTACCCCAGTTGCTGGGAGTGCTTGCGGACAGTCCTCAGCTTTCTGTTACCATGGGGGAATGGCCTCAGGTGAGGAGAGCTGCCCAGCCTAAGGTCACACCCACTTCCGGGACTACTTGTATTCCATGACCCAAGAGTAGAAAAGGTAGAAAAGGGTAGGAAATCTGGCCCCAACTTGGGGAAAAGTTCAAGGGCCATTCTATTCCCAGAGGGGCCCAAAGGGTTGGCCTCTGCCCTGTCCTGCTTCCTTCCTCTCCCTCCAAAGGTTTTGACCCCAAGAGCTTCCTGATAACACTCTGTGTATTAATCTCTATCTCCGAATCTGCTTCCTGGGGAAGCCCTCAGTTCTTACGTCTCCCAGTTAGGCTCCCTGAGGACTCAGTGGTCCAGGGTGAGTGCACTACTGGAGAAAGGCAACAGTCCTCATGAACCCCAGCAGTGCAACTCTTTAAATGCAGGGCAATAAATGGCAAAACCCTCTGTCTCCATTGATCTACCTGGTCATGGCTTCTTTTTTTATTTATTTATTTTTCATTTATTTTTATTAGTTGGAGGCTAATTACTTTACAATATTGTAGTGGTTTTTGCCATACATTGACATGAATCAGCCATGGATTTACATGTGTTCCCCATCCTGAACCCCCCTCCCACTCCCTCCCCATCCCATCCCTTGGTCATGGTTTCTTAACCAGATAATTCATCTCCAGGTGGCCCTGGATTTCCTGACCTCAGGCAAGGCATTAATTTGGTGACTCTTGCTGTCTTCCAGTACTCACCTGACCCTCACCCACTGGGAACCCCCAAATCATACTGTGAGGCCAGCATTGATTTCAGAAGGCAGAGGGTGGGGATTTATGGCAGGGAGGCTGCAATAACATGTCACACACTCTAACCACTCTGAAAACAAGCTATTCATATTTCTCAGTCAAGGTAACGAGGACACCCAAAACACCAGCATCCCGATACCTCATATCCTTGAATTGCTAACTCCAAATCCTAAACTCTTGATCCACAAATTAAAGAAACATCACAGTGTCTTGGAAAAGGCACAGCTTTTGAATCAACTAAATCTGAGTTCAACTCCTGAATCTTCCCCGTACGGGTGATGAGGCCTCTTGCAAGACACATCAGCTACCTCACACCTCATCACCTTGTTCAGGAAACACGTGTGGTGACAGTTCCATATCACAAGGTTTGTTTTTGTTTGTTTTAATTGAGACACCACATATAAGACCCTCAGCATACTGAGGCTGATAATTATCTTCCTCTATACTTGAGAATTCTGAATTCCTAGAGTCAGAAGCATAATAAAGTGAGAAGCAGAACTCTCACTTTCATAGTATTGACTATATGTCAGGGTTCCAAATAGGAAACGGAGTATGTCAAGGCTGTATATTGTCACCCTGCTTATTTAACTTACATGCAGAGTACATCATGAGAAATGCTGGGCTGGAAGAAGCACAAGCTGGAATCAAGATTGCTGGGAGAAATATCAATAACCTCAGATATGCAGATGACACCACCCTTCTGGCAGAAAGTGAAGAACTAAAAAGCCTCTTGATGAAAGTGAAAGAGGAGAGTGAAAAAGTTGGCTTAAAGCTCAAGATTCAGAAAATGAAGATCATGGCATCTGGTCCCATCATTTCATGGGAAATAGATGGGGAAACAGTGGAAGCAATGTCAGACTTTATTTTTGGGGGGCTCCAAAATCACTGCAGATGGTGATTGCAGCCATGAAATTAAAATATGCTTACTCCTTGGAAGGAAAGTTATGACCAACCTAGATAGCATATTAAAAAGCAGAGACATTACTTTGCCAACAGAGGTCCGTCTAGTCAAGGCTATGGTTTTACCAGTGGTCATGTATGGATGTGAGAATTGGACAGTGAAGAAAGCTGAGCACCGAAAAATTGATGCTTTTGAACTGTGGTATTGGAGAAGGCTCTTGAGAGTCCCTTGGACTGCAGGGAGATCCAACCAGTCCATCCTAAAGGAGATCAGTCCTGGGTGTTCATTGGAAGGACTGATGTTGAAGCTGAAACTCCAATACTTTGGCCACCTGATGCAAAGAGTTGACTCATTGGAAAAGACCCTGATGATGGGAGGGATTGGGGGCAGGAGAAGAAGGGGACAACAGAGGATGAGATGGCTGGATGGCATCACCGACTCGATGGACATGGGTTTGGATAGACTCCAGGAGTTGGTGATGGACAGGGAGGCCTGGCGTGCTGCGATTCATGGGGTTGCAAAGAGTCGGACACGATTGAGTGACTGAACTGAACTGAACTGATATGTCAGGGACTGTTCTAAGCACCCTTCTCATATCAAATCAATCCTCTCAACAGTCCTGTGAAGCAGGTGTTAATACCATTATTAATCTCATCTTGTAGATGGGGAAATGTGGCTCAGAGAAGCTAAGAAATTTGCTTGAGGTCACACAGCTAGGAAGAGGTGGAGCCAGAATTACAACCCAGGCAGTCAGGCTCCAGATCTCTGCCCTAAGGGTGGAAGGAACACACTCTACACACAGTAGGCTCTCAAGGAAGCTTGTTGATGTTGAGAAGGAAGAGGAGGAGCAAGGGCAGTGGAGGAGGGGAGGAAGGAAGGGTCAGTGTCTGGGCAGATAACGAGCAAGGTTGAGGGAACACATTAAGGGCCATAACCCAAAAAACATACTAGGGCCTCTTTGTTAAAAGTGAAACTGAGAATATGAAAGGTCAAGGGGATGAACCAAGAGCCTGCAGGAGCCTGGACTCTGACCAGAGCAGAGAAGAAAGCACAAGACATGGTGGAAGAATTTCTTGATGATGTTATCAACCTAGTTGGAGGTCAGTGTGCACGTATACAAGGGGAGGCACATGAGGCATGAGGAGAAAGCAGAGGGGGAGGACATGGGGAAAAGGAAAGGAGAAGAAAAGAAAAGAGAGAGAGAGGGAGAAAAAGAGAGACAGAGGGCAGAGATAGGAGAGAAGGTAGGGGAGAGGGAGAGAGGGGGCAGGACAGGGTAGAGGGACAGAGAGAATTTCTCCCAAAAAAAGAAAATTACATAGTTTTAGGAACAAGGAAGTATCTAACAAGTGATAAACATAAACATGAGGGTCAGAGTCTGATTGTATTTCCAACTGTCTGCTGCCCAGTTTGTTTATCTCTCTGTCCATCTCCGTCTATCCATCCATTCATGTACCCATTTCTTTTTGCTTTTAAATTTGTCTAACTAGCCGTATATCTACATGCCTGAGGTTTGACTACCTGTCTGTCTTTTGTCCATCTGCCCCTTTGTTTTTCTGCCTGTTTTTGATCTAACTATTTGTCTGCCAATTTGTCAGTTGATTTGTGTAGCAATTAGGATGCTTTGGGCTGCAAGTGACAGATGGCCCTACCAAAAGTGGCTTAGATGATTAAAGAAATATATTATCTCAGATAACAAGAAGTTTGGGGGCAGGGAGATTCCTAAATTGGTTAATGTGACTCTGGGGGCATCGTCTGGCACCCAGATTGTCACAGCTATCCTCCGCCATCTCTGGCACATTGGCTTTTGACTCAGGAGAAGCCTCAGGGTTTCAAAAAGGCTGCAGCAACTCAACACATTACATCTTCACACAGCAAAGTCCAAAATCCAGGAGAGAAGAGGGCATATCTCTTCTGTGGGTCTTTGTATAAGTTTGAGGTAAAATTTCCCCAAAGTTTCCTTAACAGAGTTCCTCCCACATTTCAGTGGTCAGACTTGTATCATATATCCATTTCTTAATCAATCTCCAGCAAGGGGAATAGAATTATCACGAGTTTCCTGGACCAATTAAGAGTCACCTCTGGGGCAAGGGAGAGATTCAACTTTCCCCAAAGCACTTGGTCTCCGAGCACCAAACAAAAGAGTGGGTTCCACTAGGAAGGAGGGAGGATGGAATATGGGGCATGGCTATTGGGGAGGCCCATTCTATATGCTGAGCTATATATCCATCTTCTCTGTGCAATCACCTGTCCATCTAGCTGTGTATCGATTGGTCTGCCTGTCTGTTGATCTGTCAGTCACTCCTGGAGACTGCCTGCCTATCCATGTCAGCCTGTGTGTCTATCTGTACACCTGTTTATCTGTGTCTCTATTTGTCTTTTGGTCTGTCTATAAATAAATCTATTAATGAGTTCGTGTGTTTACTCAGTATGCCTATCTGTCTCTGTCCATCCATCCATCTTGAATTTCTGTTCACTTCTGCCCTTCTCTCCCTCACCTGTCCCATATTTTTAAAATGGATAGCTCATTTCTCTTTTTCACCACCAGAATAACTCTTGAAACTCATCACTCTGGACAAAGCACTGACCACAGGGCCCACATCTCCTAGCAAAAGAGACAGAGGCAGGGAGAGCCTGCCTGAGTTCCCACCCTCCACACTTCATGCTGTATACCATCTCCCCTCTTCCCAGGTCCTGCCCAGAGACTGGGATGCTCATGGTCTCTACCCATGACGATCAGGTCCTTCCTAAGCTATGTGATCTTCCAGAGTGACTTTGTTCATTCATTTGTTCTTGAATGAATATTTATTGGGCACCTACTATGTGCCAGGCCCTTTCTTAGGTGATGGAGCTACAGAGAGGATACTTGGTCTTGCCCCTACAGGGCTTACAATCTATGTGTAGACACGGCCATACACAGCCACACTTACACAGGCTTATACACCATAATGGATGCTCCCATTGTGTGTAGACACAGGTTCTCAAATATACATTTAAAGACAAACACAGCCATACCCAGGCCTTGCTAGCCTCTGCAAACATTTGTTGAGCCTAATATGTATGTGGCACTTAAGTTAGTCCTGTTCAAAAGCACATCTTACACACACACACACACAAGTATACAGTTATGCATTTTACTGCCCTGGGACCCTGATAGCAGGACACAGGGAAGTGGCACAGAATTATTTCTGTCCCCACATCTAGTCTTCATCTTGAATTATCACTTTTTGACCATCAGTATCCCCTGGAACAAAAGGAACAAGACCTGGCCCAGGGATGATCTACACCCTCTCGTTCTCTTGAACCACTCATGTTCATTTATGGTGTAAAAGTTGCTTCCGATCTGTCACTGGGAGCACATCTG